CCCCAAAACCCCAAAACCCCATTAAAATCAAATATACTTTGGGAAAGTGATTATTGTAAAGTTAATAGAAATTAAAGATAAAATTATTAAAAAATGGCATTGATGAAGAAGTTTATGATACATATGAATTCATTTAATAGTCTATGAGGTTAAGCATAGTGTCTTCAAGTAATTTAATAACCTTTAATATAATCTCTTAAGGAAAGCAAGGTATTGATGACCTTGTAGAATAACCTTACTAAGATAAATTCTGCTAAGAAATATTTTAAGGACAAAATAAGAGATAAAGCATACGTAAAAAGAATGAACCAAGAATGCTTATTATTGAACACCTCGGAGAGAACTCCCAAGTTTCCATAAGATCGTAGAAAAGAAACTTGTGAGATTTTAGCTGAGGAGGTTAAAGGAATTTGTAAGATGTTAGTTAAAATTAAGGAATGAGGTTAACCAAAATGAGATAACTAAGTAATTAATTGAAGAGGTTAATGAGCTTACCTCTCAAGATAACCACTAAATAGTTGAGGATCCATTTAAGAATGATTATTAGCAAGATTGGTAGACTTGTCTGAATTGCAAGATGGATAACGAAACAAACGAGATATTCGGAAATAGTAAGTTGAAGACTCTGATTCAAGATAGAACTCAGCTACATAGGCTCTCGTGCAACAAAATAATTTTACTAACTAATGAAATTTAGAGCAAACATGGCTTTCAACTTTATAACTTAGTGTAATATAAATTTCAAATTATTTAATAGTTCTAGATTATTTTTCTGCTTTATAGTTGTATTGAAGCAACTAGATTAATATAACTCTGCAAAAGTAGACTTAATGAGTTGAAGATCAAACATATTTTGGATAATTGTCTATCAAGAAGTCAAAAACAAATAAGGTTAGTAATCGAGGGATTTTTCATTCTCGTTTAATGCAGGTTGGTTGTAGCATGACAAGCTTTCTTATTACCCTGCTTAATTTACTTCTTGAAATTTCCTGCTTGACACCACCTTTAAATTTAATCCAATGCCTCTTTAGCCGACTAACACCAGTAATCTTAGTTAATTAACAAGGGACTACTTCTAGACTCTTGGTGCCCAGCTGTAAAATATAAATTTCTTATTTTCTAAAATGGGATTTATAGATACTAGTTTTTGTAAAGGGCGAAATCTTGAAATCTTTTTTCATAACTTAAAATAAACTTATTCAAAATGCAGCAGTTAATCATTGTTTCGCTATGCTTTGTAAGTTTTTGGTATTTATTCAATATCTTTAGTTATGACTCATTGGATGTGAGTTTAGAGGGTCTATGAAATTCCAAGATAATCAAAGTCTGTATTCATTTTATGTTTAATTTATTTTTGTGATTTTTTTAACAAAACAACATTTAAATATTGCTATAGTTTTTGAAGATTCATGTTAGGGGTTTTGGGGTTTTGGGG